TTGTAGTACAGTCAGGTCTCACAAAGTGATATATTCTATATATCTTTTTCTAAATCCTGTAGCACATACTTACCTACTTTGTGAATTTTTCGTTTCACTAAAAAAATTTTGTATAACAGTTTTTATTTCAATGGGTAAAATTATCTTAATTTTTGATTTTGAATAGGTTCATATATTAATAACATGTCTAGTGATTCAGACAATTCAGCTTAAAGTTGGATTTATTTTTAAATTGTTTTAATTAATTATTAATAAAGTAACTAATTTCTGGGAGTCGATTATGTAATTTGATTAGACTTTGACGTCGCATTCAAATTTATTTTTTGATTGCAATACGTCAAATTGCTATCAAAAAATAAATTTGAATGCGACGTTAAATTGAAATAAAAAATTAAATTTTATTTTAACGTCAAAGTTAAATAAAACAATGAATTTGTTGAATTAAATTTGACATTGACGTTAAAATGAATTTGATTTTGACGTCAAATCAAATTACATAATCGACACCCTGATTAAATAAATTAGATTGAATAAATTAATTTAATCTAATTATATTCGTTAAAAATTTTTTTAAATATTTAATTTTTAATGATAGAATGTCCAACAGCCTTCCGGCAGGATGAAAAAGACTCACGTGAGTCCCTCCGAAATCGCTTTATAAAATTAACATGGATTCAGATAATCCAAATGTAAAATATATCGTTGGAAAGATAAAAACACAAGCTTTTAGCGCATGTAAACATAAAGTTTGTAAATTAAAATCCCTAGGCTAGGGAATTCAAAGAAAAAGGACGTTTTTATAGGGTTTTTTTGACGAATCCAAAAAAATATTTAAACTGAATTTTTTTAAAAATAAACTATCACATTTTATTCTTTGAAGGCTTCAGAAGAAAATGAGAGTAGTTAGACCGAAAAATATTGGTTTTTGTAGATTTTACAGTGAATTTACGAAAAACTGTTTTTTTGGCTTGTTGCAAACATGCAAAGTTTGAAGGCTTCGAAACATGGTTTAATATTATTTTTTTTAAAAGTCTAACGCATGAATTTTTTCGTTTTTACGTCTACTTTAATAAGAAAGGGTGACAGAAAAAAATTTTGAGTTCCCTTTTTACCACCCTCATATATATAGGGCCATCCAAAAAAGCCTTCCGGTAGGACGGGCGCTTGGACGTTCTATCATTAACATTTAAAAAATGTTACAATTTTCAAAAATTATAATAAAAAAAAAAACCAAAAAATTGTTTTAAAAATCATTATATGATGTTTAACTTTTATTTCACCCGCTTTTCAATGTATTGCAATTTAAAATTTCCCAATCAAAAATTTCAGTATTATACCAAAGTTGACTACTGGCGCAGTACTGGTATTTTCATTGTATCAGTACTGGTGCAGTACCACCCTCCCAGTACTGGCAAATCAGTACTGAGCCGATATTGAGCCAGTACTGGCTCAAATAGATTTTCTTTTTGATTTATACTAGTTTACAAAAAGTACTAGAGTGAACCCGATGAATCTTTTTGATTAAATATTTTGTTCATAAAAATTTTTCAACTTGATTTTATTTTTCAAAATTAAAATGTACATTATTTTGCTTTTCTGTGGGTAAAATTATTTAAACAAAAAGTTTCCTGAGACCAAGTCTAAAACATTTTGCAAACTAAAAATAAATAAATTTGTTTATAAAAAATTAAAATTTTTTAAAAAAATTTATACCCAAAAAGCACGTAATATATCCTCAATATCAAGGTAATATTACACGTGAGATTCGTAATATAACGCTGTAATATTGCAGTAATCTTACAGTGATCTTGAAATGTCCGCCTCAAGGTAATATTACCGGGAATATTACTGTAATATTAACGGTAATATTGTAGTAATATTACAGACTGATTTGAGTTATTCATAAAGCATAAAAACGTAAATATATTATAAGTCAATTTGGCTTGTTGGTAAAACTCTGGACTCGTGTGCTTTGAGTTCGGGGTTCGATTCCCTGGATGGGTAGATTTTTTTCGTAAAGGAATGTTCCCATAATATTACTGTAATATTCTCTTGTAATATTACCTTAATATTACGGTATAATATTACTGCAATATTACTGTAATATTACCTTAATATTAGCGCGTAATATTACAGTAACATTACCGGTAATATTACCTTGAGGCGGACATTTTAAGATCACTGTAAGATTACTGTAATATTACAACGTTATATTACGAATCTTACATGTAATATTACCTTGATATTGAGGTTATATTACGTGCTTCTTGGGTAATATAAATTTAATTTAAAAAATTAAATACAATCGCAAGTAAAATTGCACAAATGTTATATTATCAATAATATAAAATATAATATAATTAACCTTTCTTAATAGAAATTATAAAAAATAGTTAAACCTACAAACTTATATATTTCAATGGTCAATATAAAATTATTGTAATTTTTCTCTGGATGTTATTTTTCAGTTTTTTTCCAAAAGTGAATTATAAACAAAATTTTAATGTTAATTTAAAAATAATTTAGATAATTTTTTTAATAATTACCTAATTTCAGGAATTTAGTATTCATTATTTATTAAATCATTATATTTGTGATGAGTTAATTTGTAAACTAATTTTGTTTTATGTAAATTGAATTGAATTCAATGTTAATTTATTTATATTTGATATAATAATTAATAAATTAAAGTGAATAATAAAATAATTAAATAGTTAATTGCATGACTATATACATTATAATTATTTTATAAACATTTTTTTATTTTTACTGAACTGTTTTTATATATTATAAAAAACTTTGGTTTTATAATAAACATATTTTTATATTTATTTTTTGATTTTTTAAAATAATAATTTACAATATATATTATAAGAAGGAATGAAAATTCTTTGTGTTTTCGATTTTATATAATAAAATATTAATTAGTTAGTTGACTAATTTAATTAATATTTAATTTGTGTTGGGTTACTAAAAATTTTAGACACTTTTTCCTAAGTATACCAAAAAAGTATTACCTGGAGTGAAATTTATCTCTGTTACAGTTGAAGCTTTCTTTTCGTATACAAGAAATTACAAAACTGCCAGTACTCGGCCAGTACTGAACCAGCAGTGGTTACCAGTACTGGTGCCAACTCTGGCAGCCAATACTGGTAAAATGTTATTATCCCAAAGTTACGCCAACTGTGGCGCCAATACTGGGTGCCAGTACTGCGCCAGTACTGCGCCATTAGTAAATTTTTGATTGGGTTGTTTCTTTATGGTCAAAAGATATTTTATTTATAGTACACTCATACGGTATGCACCATTTTTAAATATTCTAAAACGTTTGGGTTCTAGAACATAAAATCAAATTTTCGACTAATGTGTGGAAGTTTAACAGTTCGATTCCTACTGGCGATATTTTTTTTTTTTTTTTTAAATAACAAGAAGTCTCTTAGTATGACAAAGTAATATTGTACGTGTCATAATACTTCAATACTACAGTAATATTACTTCAATATTACATGTAATATTATGAGGCATAAATTTTAATATTACTGTCATATTACAACGTCCTTAAATATAAAATACCAAGTAATAATTTACTTCTGGAGTTGATTTTTAACATTGGCAATTCAATTTCCAACTTCTGTAAACTTAAACTTGGAAAATATTTTTCAGTGTACAATATTTGAAGTTAATTAAGTGAGCAGAGTTATGTAATACCAAAAAAGAGGTAACAATTAACTTCAAAAGTGAGATTTTTGGTGTTAACTGACAACTCCGAATTGGTATGACAATTTGACACCTTATAATTAACTTCTCAAGAAAATGACTTCAACCCCAAAAGGGTGTGACAATTTAACTCCTCATAATTAACTCCCCAAGGGAGTGACAATAAAAGGGTAACAATTTGACTCCTCATAATTAACTCCTGAAGGGTGTGATAATAAAAGAGTGACAATTTGACTCCTTATATTTAATTCCTCAAGGGTGTGACAATAAAAGAGTGACTATATGATTCCTTATAACTATAACTTCTTAAGGGAGTGATTTTAACTCCGAAAGGGTGTAAAAATTTGACTCTATATAATTAATTCCTCAAAAGAGTGACTTCAACTCAAAATGGGTTTGACTCATTATTAACTCCTCAAGAGAGTGACTTTAACTCCAAATAGATGTGACAATTTGACTCCTTTCAATTAACTCCTCAAGGGAGTAATAATAAAAGAGTGACAATTTGACTCCGTATAATAAATTTCTCAAGGGAGTGACTTTAACTTCGAAAGAGTTTAATAAAAGAGAACAATTTGACTCCTTATGATTAACTCTTGAAGGGTGTAATTTTAACTCTAAAAGGGTGTAACAATAAAAGAGTGACAATTTGACCCCTTATGATTAACTCCTTATGAGAGTAACTTTCACTTTGAAAGGGTATAACAATAAAAGAGTGACAATTTGACTCCTTATATTTAACTCCTTAAGGGTGTGACAATAAAAGAGTGACTATTTGATTCCTTATAACTATAACTTCTTAAGGGAGTGATTTTAACTCCGAAAAGGTGTGACAATTTGACTCCTTTCAATTAACTCCTCAAAGGAGTAATAATAAAAGAGTGACAATTTGACTCCTTATGAGAGTAACTTTAACTCCGAAAGGGTGTAACATTTAGAAAAAATTTTTTTTGTAAAAATTTAATAAAAAAATTTATATGTTTTATATATAAAAAAATGTATTTTTGAGGATTTATTTTTTAGGTATCTCCTGAAGTTACATGATATTGCATCAGACAAGCATCCAATGGATTCTGGAGCAGTCAGTCAGTGAAACAGGAACAAAGAACCAAATAATAATAATAATTAATATTTCCAGGATTTCCCCCGGTTTTTGAGCCGTAATATTTAGATTAAAAGAATAATAATAATAATATTAATATTAATAAATAAATAAAAAGAAGAAAAAAAACAGAAAGTGGAAGAAGAAAAGGTAGAAATAAAAAAAGGAAAAGGAAACAGGAATATAAGAATAAGAAAAAGGGCACACAGAGAGAAATGAAAATAAGTCTGTGGTAGCATTATAACAGAGACGGAGTTTGAGTTTCGGTTTCGTTTGACTTGCGCTCCAAGCTCGATGTGAGTTGTTTCTCTGTCCTTTCTCAGTTGCGCGCGAACCGCGGAGCCGCGTGCATTTCCATTGTTGGTGCATTATTGGTGCGTCAAGTCACTTATTGCCTTACGCTTGTTTGTTATCACACTCAATCACACTTTAAATTTTTTTTTTTATTTTTCCCACTAACATCAAACAATTTTTTCTTGTTTCTTCACGCAAAACAAAAAAAAAAAATTTGTCCAATTTTCCACAAAAAATAGGTATCAATTAAAAAAACTCGTTTTTAATAAATATTACCAAAAAAAAGAAAAGGAATTTCTAAATAATATTTTAGGGGCAAAAAAGGCGGGAAATTTGAGAAAATTAAATTATTTGAAGCATTAAAAGTTATTAAAAAAAAAGAAAAAAAAGAGTACAAATGTGGCATCGAGGGTTATCATTGAAAATACGTGCGCTATCAGTGGTGCCGGAGCTGATATCATAATCATTGATGCGGTGGTCCGCGCGGTGCATTCAGTGATACATGCTGTTGGTGAACAAGAGTTTAGGAAAGGCTGCGACGGAGATTGCGGGCAGTGAAGATAGAGAGAGAAGGAGAAGGAGGAGGACTAGAAGTAGAAGGAGGAGGAGAAGGAGGAAGCTCGCGTAGCATCAAAGTGCGGTGGCACACACACACACATACATACGTACATATATACACGCCGGTTACTATTTTTGAGAGCGCGAAATATTTTGGCTTTAAGCTATTCACAAGTGAGCCTACATCAACTATACATGACGCACGGAATCTCCGGAAGAACTTGAGTGACAGGTAGGAGTCATTTTGTGCTACCCACCCTCTGGTCCAGTGATCTAGTTTCTTGTTTATACTATTTTTAGCAAATAATTTCACTTTCATATTTATATGAATTTCAAAAATTTACATTAAAAACAAAATTTACTCAAGTGCATCTGAAGAAAAGTATTTCATATATTCAAAATTTTCATTTCATTCGAACAATTTATTTTAAAAAAAATTTTTTTTTTTATTACTGGAAGTTCAAACAGCTGTTTATTTAGTTTGCGTGAATTTTTTTTTAACAGAATGTGTTTTTAATTTAAATAAATTAGTGAAAATTATATTTGTAAGTTTACACACGTTTGCACCCAGAGAAATGTTTTATTTGAACCAAATATAATATATTTGAGTTAAATAAACGTATATTTGTCTCACAGCCTAGTAGTCTATTTATTTGGAGTAAATAAATTTTTTTATTTAAGTCAAATAAAAAATTAATTTAAATCAAATAAATATTTATTTAAATCAAATAAACATTTACTTGAATCAAATAAAATATTAGGCTGTGTGACAAATATATCATTTTTCTGGGTGTGTCAAAAATTAAAATAGGTACGAAAGAAAACAAATGACTAAGAATATCCTAAACCTAGAAAAAAATTTTGTTGATTTAAAGAAATCTGTTTCTTTGATTCAAATAAATTTTTTTTGTATCAAAAAAATTTGTGCTTTGAAACATTGAAATTTTTGACATATACACTCAGAGAAATGGTATATTTGTCTGCGAGCCTACTAACTCATTTATTTGTTGCAAATATATTTCATTTCATTGAAATAAAAAATTTATTTAAGCCAAAGAAAAATTTATTTCTGACAAATAAAATTTTTATTTACGCCAAATAAATAAGTTAGTAGGCTCTGAGACAAATATACGTTTATTTAACTCAAATATATTTTATTTGGTTCAAATAAATTATTTCTCTGGGTGTAAGGATCAAAGAAATAATTCATTAGATTTAAATAAATTTTTTTTTGTATCAAAAAAATTTGTGCTTTGAAACATTGAAATTTTTCACATTATAAGGATCAAAGAAATAATTCATTAATTTAAAACTGAAAATTTCTTCGAGACAAGGATAATAATTCTTTTTTTGATTGAAAGAAATTTGTGCTTTAAAACAAAGAAAATGATTTCTTTAAATCAACAAAAACTTTTTTTTTTTTTGGTGCATACACACGCAAAAAAAAATGTTCTCAGTAAAAGAGGATTCCTCTTTTTATGTAGGCAACTTTTCCTCTTATATATATGGGAACTAAAACCTAATTGAGAGGATTTTCCTCTCTTACCATCTGAGAGGAGTAATTTTAAATAAGGAGACAATAAATATAAAATATAATCAGTGAAACACCCGAATTGTGACGCTTTGCAGAGAATGGTAGCTTTTTTTTGAATACATGGTGGGGAACTAGAATAGAGAAAAGCAGAGTAAAGGAGGTGTCAAAAATATAATGATATGTCATATTTCGGACGTTCTACTGAAATTCCAATGGAAATTTACATGCACCTATTCTAAACTAACCTTAAATTTTAAATCAAAAAGTAATTTTCATTCCAAATAATAATAATAATAAAAAAAAATAAATAATAAAAATTAAAAATAATAAAAAAAATTTACACGGAAAAAATAAAATGAATAATTTTTTAATTGATGTTTTGCATTTAATTTAGGTATAGATATTGAATATGTATAAATAAATGAATAATTATCGAGGGGGAATTTACTCAGGTAGTCAAGTGTACACTCTTCCTGTAATACTTGTGTAATAACGTGTAGTACCGTGTAATAATGCGTTATTACGGTGCTGTAATAACGCAAAAAAATCTGTAATATCTCTGTAATAATGTGTAATACTCTGTAATAACGTGTAATAACTTAGTAATAAGGGTAATATGAGGTGTAATACCGGTAGTCAAGTGTACACGTTTTTAACTAGTAAATTCCCCCTCGATTATTATAAAAATATTTATTTGGATAATATTTATGTTTTAATTGTTTAATAAATAGTAGTTTAGGCAAAAACGATTGGAGAATTTTTTTATTCTACTCTTTATAACAATTTTTTGTTCAAAAATTTGAAAAGTCTCACAGTGAAGGCTAAAAGCTCATACAAATGCTTTATGTTTTTTCTTTCGTATATAAATTCGTATCATATATATATGAATAAAATCAATAATAAAATATTGATGGAAATAAATATTTATTGATTTTTGTTCAAATAAATCCGAAAGAAAAGACTCCTTAGGGTTTACAAAGTATAAGGCTGCTTGATTATGAATCGATTCTTTTTAAGAATCGTTCTTCTTTCTTTAGGGGTGAATTTTTTTTTCTTTTCTTGCAGAGAATATTTTTTTTGTTTTGTTTTCAACTTTAATTCATGAATTTATTTATTGGAATTATTTATATATATATATATATATATATATATATATATATATATATATATATATATATATATTATAATAATGATGGTTTTTGGCAAACAGAAAATTAATTCTATAGTCTATTTATTGTGTCAATATATATCAATGATGTTCCACACTAAAAAGTGAAATAATTCACTTGAAATTGAAATATAATTTCACTTGTGTGGAGTGAAAGTTCACTTTACTTGAAGTACAATTCCCGTTTGAAAAGTAAAATTTTAATCATCCAAATTAAATTTTAACATTACTTTAAAAAATTAGTGTTTAAAAGTTGTTATAGAAAAAACAAAATGCTAAAATTGAAATTATTATTGTGATGAACAATTATTGATAATAATAATTATTAAACTTATATTAATTAATATAATTTATTGTTATTAATTTAAAAAAATTAAACTTTTTGTAATGTTAAATATATATTTAATATTTTATTATTATTTTTTTATTTTTAATATACAAAAAAATATATATAATTGTTATTAAAAAATGTATAATAGTTAATATAATATAATAGTATATATTAGTTTGATTAAAGAAAATATTGCCCATTAATATATATATATACTCATTTTTCTGATGTGGACAAGTCAAGAAACATTGACATTGAAAGATAAGTGATATGACAAATTGATAACATTTATTTTGTCATTTAAAATATGAGCAAATGATAAGTGAAAAATTATTATTATTAAAAAAAGTCGTGCCAAAACGAAGTATAAGCGCAGGAAAATTGGAAAATGATGAATCACGGTTTTCATAAGCATTTTAATTGATGGTAACATAATGTAAATGAAAAGCATATATACACTGTAAAAAGAAGTGCGTCTTTAAACACATTTTTTTTTTGAATCAAAAATGTCTAAAAATAATAGAATTTCTTTTTTTTTATTTATTCTAGTTGTTTTATAATTTTTATAATATGTACCAATAATCACAGTTTTCTTGTGTGTATCAAATTGATACAAGAATTAAGATCAACTCATGCAACGTTTTGAATCAAAATAAGGTATCAAAATTGATTTTTTGATACCTGAATTGGTATCAAAGTATAACTGTCATGGCTGGCATGCTCTTATTGACAAGTTTATTAATTTATTTATTCACTGCACTGAATATTCAGATATTAAAAATACTTTTATTATGAATTTTAAGAAAGAGAGAAGCGAAAACTTATAAATTGCGAGCAATTAAATAAGAAAAAATTTATTTCGAAATAAAATCAAATACACTAACCTTTATTTATGTTTATCACATAAAATTTAATTTAAGTTCACAATCACAACACTTGAAAATTTTTAATTATTTTTATGGTTCAAATAATTATCAATAATTTATTTATTATAAATGAACAAAATTTAAGCAATACACTCTTGATAAATATTTCTAATGCGTTGTCAATTAATGCAATTAATAATTTCCTATTACACAATATCATAATCGACATATATATGACATTTGTAAACAAACAGGGTTGGGAAACAAGAGCCCAAAATATGTTCGTCCAAAGCAGAGTTCGGTAGGATTCTGTTTCACGTTTAAGGTTAACGCACATGTAATTTTGAAATAGGGAAAAACTGAATAATTATTTTTTAATAGTTTTGTTAAAAATAATTTGAACTGTAAAAATAATGAAAAAAATTCAAATGTTGCGATCTTTTTTCAGACAAATGAAAATTCTATTAATTAGAAATTCTGATAAGAGTGTCGAACGTTGTCTTGATCAAAAACATGAAAAACTATAGTCTGTTTCACATTCACCTCTTAATTGCAATGTTTTAACTAATGAAATTTAATGTTTAATGTTAATTTAAATTTAATGTTTCAATCAATGAAACTAAACTATACTTTTATAAACAGGTTGAGAACCTTTTCGTGATAACTGAGCGCTCATAGCGAAATATTTGGATCAATTTGATACCTTATATCGAATCAAAACGTTGCATTCCAAAATGATACCATCAAATTTACAGTGAAATTATTTGCGCGATTTTTAAAATCAACTAATCATAATTTTATTGATAATTTTTGATTGGTTGATTTTAAAAATCGCGCCGAAATCTTTCTGCCGATTGTTGGTTCGGCCATTTACAAATTTCGGACAAATGAAAATTCTATTAATTAGAAATTCTGTTAAATGATTTTTCGGTTAAGTAAAAATTCTATAGTATGAAAAATCAGTTATATGAAAATTATATCAAATAATAATTCGAACAAATGAAAATTCATCTGAAAGAATAAAATGAAAATTCTATGCGATGAAATTCTACCCAATGAAAATACTTTAAAATGAAAATTCGAGCAAATAAAAATTCTGACAAATAAAAATTCAGCTCATAAATAATTATGACAAATAAAATTCCATAAAATAAAAATTCTAACTAATGATTTTTTGGAACATATTCTTACGTCCCATTTTTTCAATATGTCAAAAGATGCATTAAAATAGAATTCTTTTGAAGCTGCGGTCAATGACTTCTAGAATACAGTAACTGAATTTGAATCAATTTTTGCGAATTTATTTTTTTTCGTCTATTTTTTTTTTTTTTTT